TTTTTTTTTTTTCCTCTCTTCTGTTGTGGCCGGCCGGAGGGACTAAGGGGAGATCAATGAAGGAAAGAAGAGCGAGCCAGAAGTTATCGAGCAAGGCGGTGATGGATCCCAACCAGAACGTGAAGTGCAAGATCGTGGTGGTGGGGGACAGCCAGTGCGGGAAGACGGCGCTGCTCCACGTCTTTGCCAAGGACTGCTACCCCGAGGTGCGGGAGGGCTGCGGGAGGGCGGGCCGGGCTCCCCTCAGCTCCCCCGGGCTCACCTGTGCTCTCCCCTCATCCCCCAGAGCTACGTGCCCACCGTCTTCGAGAACTACACGGCCAGCTTCGAGATCGACAAGCAGCGCACCGAGCTCAACATGTGGGACACCTCAGGTGGGCCGGGGGGTGCGTGGGGGTGGCGGGGCCGGACTCGTCCTTTCCACCGTTCCCGGAGCCGCCGGGCCGGGCTGGGGCAGCGGCTCCGAGCCCTGCGAGCCTCCCGGGGCAGCGCCGGGAGCACCGGGCGGGCGGCGCTCCCTTGTCCTGCAGCGGGGACAGCGAGCAGAACCGGCTGCGGCTGCAGCCCTGAGGCCGGGGGAGCGGGGAGGAATGGGAGTGCTGATGGAGGGGGGAGCCCGCACCTGGGGAGGGATGCCCTGGTGCTGCCACAGAGCCTCCGGGGCTCTCTGGCGTCTTTTTGGCTCGGTTTGGTTTTGCTTCTTTGTGTCCTCGGTTGTGGTTCTGCTCACAGCGCCGGGCACGGCTGTCCCAGCCCACCGAGACCCATCCCGAACTTTGTGCCTGCTCCTGCCCCGGGGGAGGCACGAGTTGCGGGAGGAGTGCGTGATGCAGAGCTAATGGAAATATTGGCATCCCACAAAGTTCACAGGCACTTTCTGATTTATCTTTGGGTCCTTTTGTACGGGCAGTGCAGCTGAATGCTGTGTTCTGCTGATGAGTATACATCGTGTGCTTGCTGGTGCTCTTTTCCCATAGTCTCTTAATTTTTGGAATCCTGATGATAAATGAAGTGCTCTCAGTGTCCAAGAGCAGTAGTAAGTGACAACATGACCTAGGACTTTCTTTTCCTGTTGTTCATTCAGATTCCTTGCTGTAATTTTGCCTTCATTAAGTGACAGCTATAGGATTAGCATAGCTCTACCTAGAGTAGTGGCTTTTAGTGAGTCTTGGACTAGCCCAAACATGTAAAATATATTTGAATCTTCTTCTGGAGC